TTATTCTGAATAAAACTCCGGTGCATGTAAACACTTTTCATGTTCAGATTGTGTTCATGTAAACAGTACATTTGGATTATTTAATCTGAATACATTTCAATTTGATTAAAAAAATTTGTGCATGTAAACATGGCTGGTATAATTTTAATTTTTAAAGCTCATAATCTTACCACTTGAAACATCACTAGCCCTGAAGCTGCTGGTAGACATCGCTGTTAGAATTATCAAAGGTTTTTTACACCTGAGAGACACCGTAGCAACTCCTTTGCATTTGGAAGTGGGAGTTGGGGGTTGGGGGAGGACCAGGGAGGATGATTCAGCCACTCAACCACTAGATGTCGCTGAAAACAAATCCTACACACTGCCTTTAAAGAAGTTTTATTAAGATGAAACTCTGGCCCCCTGCCACTCTACCCTCTGGTAGGTTGTGCCTTTGCCAGCAGGTGTGCTGGTGGCTCTCGGTGTCTGGGGCTGAGCTGAGTGCTTGGGCGTGTACCGGCTCGGCCTGGTGACTGCTCGGTGGGGCTTGGGCCCTCTGGCCCTATCAGGCCTCAGCTTGGGGGTGTTGTGCCCTGAGGTCCCGGCCCTCGGTGTCCATGCCCGGATCTGCTACGACGCTGTGGGTGCCGGCGGATTCTGTGAGGTCGTCGCTGCTGGCCCCGGGGTATTACTGTGTGGGGTCACTAAGGGGCTCTCCTGGTTCTCTCCTGTGGTCTGCTCTGGGGGTGGGCGGTTCTTCATACGCTGGTGCCCCTGGGGGCTCTGCACTTGGGGGTCCTTCTCAGGGCCTTTGGTTCTGGTCTTCCTTATGTCTGCCTCGGGCCTTGGGGTCAGGTCTGTGGGTGTCCACAGTCTCTTAAGCATTCCATTGGAGAAATCTTGTATACATGCATGCTCAGAACCGCACATAAACAGGTGTTCAGATCCTGGGGTTTCTGACAGTCACTGAATGTGTACAGTATATATATATATATACATATTAGATTATTTACTAAATGTACAAAACTCAAAATCAAATTTCCAAAGGGTCACAGTCACAAATTATTAACCAAAGTTTTGAGATGTGAGTGGCAAAACTTTGCTGATGTCACCCAAATGGTAAAATCCCTGGATGTTTAAACAGCCAGATGTTTTGTGGGAGCCATCTAGCAGCCAATAATCTTCAGCCAGGTTCACTATGGCGGCCAATCAGCAGAAGGCTTGTCAGGACTCAGTCAAAGATCCTCTCTTGTAAAAGAGAACTAAAAAAGAACTTGGGACAAAACCATTAACACAATATAGTATGGGCTGTAACATTAAGATGGCCATCACAACTAATCAACATTTGTAGACAAAAATTAAACTATCCTTTCGCAGGACAAGATGATCTTCATGTAAAACTGTCAGAGGGACAATATGTATTCCTTCAAGACATGCTTTTGTTTTCTTACATTTTTATTTTGACCCGTTTATCAAACATTCTCCAGAGGACTTAACTTTTCTAAAAAAGATAGTACAATGCATTTTTTTTCTTTTATAGTGACAACATTAACTGAAATCTGCTACATCGCTGTGCAATAGGCTATCACAGTGGATTAATGGTTAGAATTGTTAGTTGAATTGTTAGTTAAAGCAGTGTTTCCCAACCCTGGTCCTCAAGGACCCCTATCCTTCATGTTTTACTTGTGTCCCTGCTATTCAGCAGGTCTTCAGAAGATTGTTAATCACTCATTCATTCAAACCAGGTGTGTCAAAGCAGGGAAACATCTAAAACTGTGTGTCCCCTTTTCCATGGTGTAGTGTCGGAACGATCGGTGTAGGTACGGGTCAGTACGGGTCGGACCGGTTGGTTTTCCACTGATGTACCAGTCCGGTTCCAATGGGTGTGTTTTGGGCGGTTGGTGGAGGTGGTTTTTAGGTTTTTTGAAAAAAAGTTAATAGGCAAAATGAGAGATGGAAAACATTTGATGAATAACTTTTGAAATTTTAAAAATTTGAAAAACTTCCGAATTAAAATTGGATGGAATCACGACTAATGTCACTGCTACAATTGAAAACAATGACTCATTGGGTTGTTCTTGTAAAGGCAGCTTAGACGCAACCAGTGGCTCCACCCCCTAGCCAATCAGCGACAAACAGTGTTCTGATGTCGCATTTTGGTGTCAGCTGGGGCTGCTTGGAACCACAACGAAGTAGGTACTAAAAAAAGGGCCGGTTCCATGAACCTGGCCAAATGGAAATGGCTTGGAACCGTACCAAACCGTACCAACACTACACTGAGTGGCACTAGTGGAAAAGGGGGAGGACCAGGGTTGGGAACCACTGAGTTAAAGCCTCAGGTTGGACCCAGGGTCCTTCTGTGTGCATATTCTCATGTTTGGGTGGGTTTTCTCCGGTTACTTTCGTTTTCTCTCACAGTCCAAAAGCATGTACAGTATGTGTAGGCTTATTTTCCTGGTTAGATAATGGTCAACATTGACCTGCTAACCTTCAACCCATGCTTCAAGCAAAGTTGTCTTTTTAATAAAAGAAAGAAAATTAAACATTGCAGAAAGGATATGGCATTGTTTTATTTTTTCTTGTTCTCCCAAACCGTGAACTTAAAATAAACATATCATGATTTTAAATCCTTCTTTTTCACATTTAGATCATTCTGTTGGGGTCTATATAAAGTGGTACTGCAATGCTTCGTCTGAATTCCTCCTTACTGTAACTCTACAAGCCCCTCTAACTTTAGGTTACCTACGATGTGTTTCTAGACTGGGGAGACTCAAAAAACAACAGAGGAGAGCAGGATTCTTTCCAGTGGCAACCCAGTCCCTGACCTTGATCCCAATCCAACCCAGGCTGAAAGCCCAGCTGCACAGGAAAATGGGATGAGTAAAGGGGTTCCCACTGAGAGCGAGGGACTTCTGGAGCACCAACCTTTGGATTCACACATTCTAGAGACAAGTAAGTCCGGACTGCTCCAGCGTTTGCTATGAATTTGCAAATCACACATGCAGGAGCTTGACAGAAAAGTCAATGATCTCTACTTTTCTGTTCCTACGTAACATAAGAAAGCATATGACCTACTTCATGTGACTGTAATGGATTTATATTTATATGCATCTGCTGTCCAAAGCACCTGATTTTTTTGTGACTTCTTATTTTGCAGGCATCTAACTCTGCTGTCCTTCTGCCCTCTTCATTTCAACTCCCACCCCCACTCCATGTCATCGCCTACCCCTATTTTTTTTGTGTACACAATGTTCTTCTTCCTACCTCACCTTTGCTCCTTGTCCTCTTCCCTTAACCTCTGCTGCAGATTGAGTCTTTCAAGCTTAACTTCAGCGAGAATGCTAGCTCTCACACTGACAACGCGGATATCGCCATGTTGCCAGCCCAGTCCCAGGAAACCAGGATCCACGTGGTACCTTATACTCTTTACAACATCTTCGCCAACTGTCGCCTCACAGTGGCTTCCTTGTTGAGGCTTCAGTTTTGCCCCACTGCAGCAGCTCCTCCTCTGCTTCTCACTTGCTTCAAAATCAGGTGGAAGTCCAAGGGACGGCATCAGATTTGTTAAGCAACCTCAGCGTTTTTAGCCCCCGTCAAAGCCCCTTTTTTTCTGAATCTTAAAAAAATATAATAATGCAACTGTTTTTATTTTTTACATGATCATGCATCATGGACTTTATCATTGCAACTTTTCTATGTTTATTCTGCCTGAAGTGTTTAAAGTAGTGTCTCACTGGGCTGTGATTAGTTAGAGAAAGATGTTTGTGAGGAAGTCTTCAAAACAGTTAAAGACATGTGCAGGGGTTCTTGGTTTTTTGAGTTGCAGTCTTGTTGCTTGAATTCTGGACATGTTCAAAATACTGTGTGAGAAATCTTTCAAAAAAGGTATTCACGAGTGTGCCAAACCAGTCTCCAAATCTATTTCAAGAGTCCAAGTTTTTGATATCTGTATGGAAACTGTCCTCTGATAGAAAATATGTCCAGGTCTAAAATGCCCAGTCAAGATGAAAAATAGGCCAAATAAAAGTTAAATAATTCCTCTTGGCAGGTTTTTCTTCGTTGGAAAAAAAGCAATTCATCTCTCCTCCAAGAGACTTCTTCAGTCTGAGGAGATACAGGTAAACTATGAGCAGTGCCTCCACATGGTGGACAAACAAGTTTAACAATGACAATCAAAACTGTTTGTTCACATGCAAAGGAGTATGAAGATGATTAATAGGCATTTCTTAAAAATGGCCCAAATCTGCCTTTCTTCATTTCTACACTATACTCCAGTAGAATAAATCAATATGGAAGTGGTAAAACACCCACCAATTTTAAAAAGCCACACATTCTTGTTGGTCATTTGGTCGCGAACACGTACAACATGGTTTTCCTTTAATTTGCCTACTGGTTGCAGCCCAGTGAGATACTACCTTTAGACCAGTGGTGTCCAATTTTGGTCCTCAAAGGGGACTATCCTGCATTTAGATGTTTCTCTGCTTAGATACACCTGATTTGAATGAATATGTGATTACCAGGCTTCTGCTGAACTTGCAGACCTGCTAAAGAGCAGGAAAACAACTAAAGCAGGAAACCGTGAACGTCTAGGACCAGGATTGCATACCACTGCTTTAGACCATGCTTGGCCTTGAGTGGTAATCTATATGAAGAGAAATTGAGGAAATTTAAGCTTTCTCACATCCTCTCGCTTTTCATTTGCTTAGAATCCATGGCTTTAACCTAAACAATGTAGCTAAAGCCAGGTGAAGCATTTCTGTCCCCTCAAAATGACATCTGTCACTTGATTTATCCACTGAGCAAATCTTATGGATTTGTGTTGTAGCTGTGTACTCTGCTTTTGTGACAGTAATTGTTTTTTTCATGTCATTGTTTTTTTTATTATTATCATTTAATATATGCAAACTGACAAAAAATTGTGACAACTAGAAGGATATTTGAATAATTTTAGATTGTTTTTTATTTTGTTTTTGATTGTGTTTGAGTGGAAAAAAAATGTAAAAGTTAGTCTTTGTGTTCTGTTTTGGATTCTTTATTTCTGCGTTTTATTTTGGTAATTGAACTGGTTTAGATATGTTCAATAAATTATCCCTCCTAAAACAAACAACACAACAGATCTCCCCCAATTACACAATCTTGGTACTCACAAGACATTTAAACATGCACATCTATTTATTCAAAAACCAGGATAAACGTTGAAACAAAGAGAACCCACACCCCCACTCCACTCGGTATAAGCAGGAAAGGGTTGCTAGATGTGTTCAAGTATAATCTGAGCAAATTTAAGCTGAGTCATGGTAAAGTAGGTGGAGACGTGATGGGACTTGAAAGGTTGTGAGGTGGAAGAAAACAAAATCGAAGTTGAGAAGTTGTCTAGAGGGAGATGAGAATGTGGTTGTTAGATGGCTATTAAACAGAAAAGGCTGTGCTGACTCATATTTAAAAATATATCATAAAATATAACTAAAACATTTAAAATTTAGAGAATAGTTGACTAAGCTGATGCAAATGCTCTGAGCATCCTGGTATTTAAAGGAATGCTAAGTTGACCTGATTATTGTATGTTACCATGATTGTTGTCCCATTTTAAATGTTTCAGAAAGTTATGGAAGTATATATACAGCTCTGGAATACATTTAAGAGACTTCTTCTAAATGTTTTTAAACCACCATCTCTACATGTATTACAGCATTTCTGTTCTAGTGTCTATTGAATTTCAGTACAACTACAACTCATTCTACTTAATGTGGTGCTGATTAGGAGATCGCCTTAACCACCAACGAAAAGAAATAAAAACCATCCTATGGTTAAGAGTAATGTCTTGCAATAGCACCAGTTGGATGGCAAAACAGTGCTGGTAGTAACTTATAAGTAATTGGAATTTAAAAAAAACTATTGGCTGTGCCTAAAGTGTTGGAAAGAGAAGTCTTAAGTGGGGAAATCTCCAGATCTGAAGCCCATTGAAACCAATGTGATAAACAGGATGATAAATGGTCAAAAGCCACCAAAAGTACCTCAGAAAATTCTATTTTTTGCGTCAGGAGTTGCAAAATGTTGCCCAATATCAATAAAATCGTTTTTTTTTTTTTTACCAATACTTGATTTCTGATTTCTTCCTAAGTTCAAACTTCAGTCTTGTGTCTAAAATGAAGTTAACCTTATTTTCTTTGTATTTGTGATCTGAGAACACTGCACCTTTTCTGTTCTGACCATTTGTCAAGTTCTGAGAATAAAGGCTCTAAATGATAAGATTTTTATTTAAAATGTGGAAGAAATATCAGTAGGTTATAAAATAAAACAAATATGTTTGTGTTATACAAACACATTTGGAGTAGTAAAATCAGAAAACCTGCAGTGGTCTCTTACTGTGTTCCACATCTGTATACCAAGTTATGTGTTTAATACTCCTGAGTATTAGCAGTGGGACTATTTTCAGTTATCTCATTTCATCCTGTTGCCTTTATAATGTTTGTGTGGACAATATACCTATGTAAAACCACTCCCCAAACTGAATGTGCATTAAGGTTATGGTTCATAAATTTATGGTTACTGTAGGTGTTTTACTGCATTGATTTTTTTAATGGAAATCAAAAGTTAATATAATTGAATCCCACTTTTCCCAAACATTTTAAACCATGATTACATGCCTTAGACATGATTGTTTTATTGTTTGTTTGTTAGTTTTTTTTATATAATATCCTAGTAATTTATCAATGATAAAACTGTCAACTGATTTTGGGGTCTTGTTAACATATTTTTCAACAATTCTAATACTTTGCTGTGTAAGTGCTGCTATGTTGAGCAATGATGAGGATGCTATTCTAATATTGGGAGTATTCATTTTTAACATGTAATTTGATAACATTTTATATGTCAGACAATAAACAAGCATCAGTTTTTATTTAAGGCCTTCACATTTGTCTAGATAAGTTGAACTCTTCACTCTGTGATCCCTCCAGAGAAATTTCATCATAAAGAGACTTCATGAATAAAGTGATTTTTTTTCTCTGCAATAATGATTAAGTAAGGTCATGCACAAGATCCAGATGCAGATAAATGTGCTGGTCTCCTTGCAGCTCATCGAAATGTGGCTTCAATGCTCTTGAAAGCTTATTTAGTCAAAAACAATTGTTTAATGTATATCTGCATGAATGTGTTCTGTGATGAGTAAACTAAACATTGTGAAATGAAATGATTTGTTATTTTACAGATGCATGCAATTATTGAGTGATTTTTCATTGTGCCACCATTTTTGTTTTGTTGTTGGAACTTACTGATAACACTAGTACAACTGAGAACTGGGGGGGACTATGAGATTTTTTTAACAATGAGAATAATACCAGAATAAAGTTATATCTGAGAATAAAATCATATGAGAATAAAGTCAGACTATGAGAATGAAATTGTAATATGAGAAAGTCATGAGAATAGTAATATGAAAATAAAATCTTAATATGAGATAAAAGTATTATGAGATTAAAATCATAATGAGAGTAAATTTGCAGTATGAGAATGAAATTGTAATATGAATAGTTGTAATATGGGAAAAACGGGAGAAAATATGGGGAACTCCTACACAATCAGTCTTACCGCTGTTAAAATAAGGAATGTTGAGCATCTTTGAAGTTAGACTTCAATATCAAATTTACAAATTAAATATTTTTATTAGTAGTAGCAGGACTTTGAAACAATTGTGCAAACAACTGTATTTTGAAGAAAGAACCACACAAACTTGGGGAAAAAATGTTTCTTTTGTGGACGAGGAGCTGTCTGTTAGAGGTTAAAGGCACAGTGTGTAGGATTTTGTCAATTCTTTTAGCCGAAATTGAGATAATCACTAATGACAATAATAAACAACAACTCTAATCATTGCAGACAAAGACCTTTTATTATTTTTACCTTATAAAAAGCTGTTTATATCTCCATGGTCG